CTTCTTCATGGCACGTGGCGGCGCCCTTCTTACCGTCTCACACCTTCTCCCTCCCCCCTTGCCCCTGTGGCCCCTTTCCGCCCCCCCTTCCCCACCCTCACCAGGTGGTGAACCTTGACGACCCCCACGCGTCCTTCTTCATGGCACGTGGCGGGGCAGACGTGCCGACGGTGACCTTTTCTCTGGAGAACACACAGGCGGACGTGCATGCCCTCGAGGTCGCCCTCTCACTCTTTGAAACCGAGCTTCTTGTTCGCACACCCCGGGTGCGTTTGGGGGGAGGGGGTGGGGGGAAGGGATGAGGGAGTTGGGGGGGTGGGGGTTGAGAGAGGGAAGGGGAAGAAGTGGGTGTGATTAGAGGGAGATGAGGGGAATGAGAGACGGAGGGAAGAGAGGTGCAGGGAGGGTGCAGGATGACTGTTGAGGTGCCTCAAGAGAGGGGGTGAGGGGGGTTGAGGTGCCTCAAGAGGAGTGGGATACGGGAAATTCCAGCCACTCACCTTAAAAGCACACTCCTACATCCCCTTCACATCTCTTCCCCTCGCCTCCCCTCCTATTCCCTCCCTCCTCTCCCCTCCCTCCTCTCCCCTCCCTCCTCTCCCCTCCCTCCTCTCCCCTCCCCCCTCCCCCCTCCCCCCTCCCGCCTCCCCCCTCCCCCCCTCCCCCCTCCCCCCTCCCCCCTCTCCCCTCTCCCCTCTCCCCTCCCCCCTCTTCCCTCCCCCTCAACAGGGCGACCTGGAGATCTCCTCAGGGCTGCTGGGCCGCCACAACGTGTCCAACATCCTGGCAGCCGTAGCCGTCGGAATCGCCATCAACGCGCCCTTAGAGGCTCTCGTGCGCGGGCTGGAGGAGGTGGACGCCGTGCCGGGGCGGTCCGAGCTCGTGCCAGGTGGATGAGGAGCAGGCGCTCTCTCCCTCATCATCCCCCAACAGAAAGAAACAAGCCACAGACCTCAAAGCAAGCTCCTATACTCGCTTCACCCCTCTCCCCCTCTTCCTCTCCCTTCCCTTCCCTTCCCCTCCCCAACAGGGCGACTTGGAGATTTCCTCCGGTCTGCTGGGTCGTCACAACGTGTCCAACATCCTGGCGGCGGTAGCAGTGGGCATCGCCATCAACGCGCCCTTAGAGGCCCTGGTGCGCGGGCTGGAGGAGGTGGACGCCGTGCCGGGGCGCGCAGAGCTGGTGGACGAGGAGCAGGCGTTTGCTGTGGTGGTGGACTATGCACACACGCCTGATGCGCTCAGCCGACTCCTGGATACGGTTCGGGAGTGCGGGCCCCGACGGATCATCACAGGTGCGTGGGTGGTGGGTTTAGGTGTATGCCGTGCCGTGCCGGGGCGCGCAGAGCTGGTGGACGAGGAGCAGGCGTTTGCTGTGGTGGTGGACTATGCACACACGCCTGATGCGCTCAGCCGACTCCTGGATACGGTTCGGGAGTGCGGGCCCCGACGGATCATCACAGGTGCGTGGGTGGTGGGTTTAGGTGTATGCCGTGCCGTGCCGGGGCGCGCAGAGCTGGTGGACGAGGAGCAGGCGTTTGCTGTGGTGGTGGACTATGCACACACGCCTGATGCGCTCAGCCGACTCCTGGATACGGTTCGGGAGTGCGGGCCCCGACGGATCATCACAGGTGCGTGGGTGGTGGGTTTAGGTGTATGCCGTGCTGTGCCGGGGCGGGCAGAGCTGGTGGATGAGGAGCAGGCATTTGCTGTGGTGGTGGACTATTCACACACGCCGGATGCACTCAGCCGGCTGCTGGATACGGTCCGGGAGTGCGGGCCAAGGCGGATCATCACAGGTGCGTGGATGAAGTGTCACAGGTGCAGTTCTTGGGTCTTGGCTGATGGCTGATGGCTGATGGCTGGTGGCTGGTGGCTGGTGGCTGATGGCTGATGGCTGATGGCTGGTGGCTGGTGGCTGATGGCTGATGGCTGATGGCTGGTGGCTGGTGGCTGATGGCTGATGGCTGTCTCTCTCTGTTCCCCCCTTGGTTCCTTGATTCCTCTTCCTTCACTTGCTCTCTCCTCACTTCCTCTCCCCTCGTTTCCTCCTCCCAATTCCTCCCTCTCACTTCCTCCCACCAGGCCTCCCCACTCACACCTCAGCCCTTCAACCATCTCTCCATCTCCCATCCCCCCTTCTCCCGTATTTTCTTCCCCCCTTCCCACGAACCCACTCCTGCCCACCTCCCAATCCTGCCACCAGTGGTGGGGTGTGGCGGCGACAGGGACCGGGGCAAGAGGCCGATGATGGCAAAGATAGCAGCGGAGAAGAGCGATGTTACCATACTCACGTCCGACAACCCCCGCACCGAGGACCCCTGTAAGGCGCTCTCTTTGCCGAGCTCTGCTTGTGGGGATGCATGGTATGCACTCTCCGAGAGGGGAGGGGAAGGGAGGAGGGGCGGTGGGGGTGACGGGGTGTGCTTTGCTGTGCAAGGGACCGGGGCAAGAGGCCGATGATGGCCAAGATAGCAGCGGAGAAGAGCGATGTCACCATACTCACGTCCGACAACCCTCGCACTGAGGACCCCTGTAAGGCGCTCGCTCGTGGGCTCTGCTATGTTTGTGGTAGTCACTCTCCCTAGAAGGGGGAGGGGAAGGGGGGAGAGGTGGGGGTGAGGGGATCTGCGTTGCAGTGCAAGTGTTGCAGCGGAGAAGAGCGATGTCGCCATACTCACGTCCGACAACCCTCGCACTGAGGACCCCTGTAAGGCGCTCACTCGTGTGCCCTGCTCCGTCTTTCCAGGAGAGAAAGAAGGAAAAGAAGCAAGCAAACAAACGAATATCGCTTCTTAAATTAAAAGAGAAACTCTTTGGGGAGATTCTCCATATTTTCCTCTTTCTGTCCCTGGCTTCTAAAAGCTTTCTCTAGCACTGCAGCTCTTCCAAGCCATGAGTTACGAAGACTCTTTCTGTCCCTCCCTGCCTTCTCTTCCACACTCTTTTCCTCTTCCTCCCGCAATCAGCCATTTGGACGATTGCTCTCCCTCTCTCCCATGGGAAAGCTGCCTCATGACTCCCTTTACCACCTGTGCTTGCCCTTGGCCCCTCTTCCCTCCATGCCACACCATGCAGTGGGCATATTGGACGACATGCTAGCAGGAGTGGGGTGGAGCATGGAGGAATACATTGAAAATTATGTCCCTTCTCCCTCCCCTCCGCCTCGTGCCTCTTTTCACCGCCCTTCCTCGCCCTCCCCACTTGCGGTGCAGTGGGCATATTGGACGACATGCTAGCAGGAGTGGGGTGGAGCATGGAGGAGTACGTAGAGTACAACCAGGCGGGGTTCATTCCCCCCCTGCCCTCGGGGAACCGTCTCTACGTGTATGACATCCGCGGCATTGCTGTGCGCGCCGCTATCGCCATGGCCGATGATGGTGACGCTGTGGTGAGTGCTGGGGGTGGGGAGGGGACTGGGTAGGAGCGGGTGGGCACTCACTTTGACACCTCACAGTTCATCCCCCCGCTGCCCTCGGGGAACCGTCTCTACGTGTATGACATCCGCGGCATTGCTGTGCGCGCTGCCATTGCCATGGCTGATGATGGCGATGCTGTGGTATGTGCGGCGGGAGAGAGGGGAGGAGAGTGGGGAGGGGGTTGGAGGGAGGGAGGAGTGAGGAGGGAGGGGTTAAGTGTGGGGGGAACGGGAGGAAACGAGGGAGTGGTAAGGTTCGGGAGATAGGAGGGGGGAAAAATTCAAAGAAAGACGAGGGGATGTTATGTATGTGGGATTTGTGTCCTGAGGGATAAGAAGGCTGTTTGGCAGGGAGGAATGACCATCCATTTGTGCTGACTGCGTCTGTTTCCCTCGCGCCCCCACTAAACCCCCACCTGCCCGTCTCTCTCTCACGCGCTCTCTCTCACACTCCCCCTCACCGCGTTCACAGGTGGTGGCGGGGAAGGGCCATGAGACGTACCAGATAGTGGGGCAGGAGAAGACGTACTTTGACGACCGGGAGGAGTGCAGAGAGGCGCTGCAGCATGTGGACGAGCTCCGCACCCACTTTGACACCTCGCAGCTTCCCTGGAGGTAAGTGCTTTCTCATTACCGTATTATTGTGGCCTGTCATGCTTTGAGACGTCTCAAAGCTAGCATGTGGACGAGCTGCGCACCCACTTTGACACCTCGCAGCTGCCCTGGAGGTACGGTAAACGCTCCCTCATTATTATTGTGACCTGTCATGCTTTGAGACGTCTCAAAAGTACGGTAGCATGTGGACGAGCTGCGCACCCACTTTGACACCTCGCAGCTGCCCTGGAGGTAAGTGCTTTCTCTTGATTGTGGCATGATACTGTGCCCTGCCTGCTTCTTCGTTTTCTGTCATACCTTTTGAGTGCAATCTGGAGCTCGGTTCGCTGTTCTTTATGCACTGCGCTTTGCTACGGGTACTGTTTGATCATGCTAGTGCACCGCCCTTCCAGGTTGTGTCTACACAGCGCTTGCGTGCTGTTTTGTGCAACTTGGCTTTCGGTATTTTGTGTGTTGTTGGTTGCAGGATTCTCGACATGAGTGACATGAAGGTCATTCCCGATCCGGATGCCAATGCATATTAAAGGCGTCGCAGGTGTCTCTGGTATACCGGTATCATGCTGAGGTTTGCAGAGCAGAGGAACTGTGATATAGTTTCTCGGGAATAAGCATTGAGGATGTTAGTTTTGAGGATGGTGTTCGTCTGTAGGTAAGAATACGCAAAATTGTACTACCCTTAAAACACATGCTGGTGCAGCTTTATTTGATTGCTCCACCGGGGTCGAAGTGCAATCTGGCACGCTGTACATACCAATGCTCTCCCTACAGGAGGCTCATCACCAATAATGTCAGTTTTCAGGTACGGTACAAAGCATGGCTTTTATAACCTCCACTGTGGGGCCTTTCTCACTACCGTATAAGCACACACACACGGGTGGGTGCCTCTATGCCACTCTAAAGCACTTCACAATCAGGCTTCTTGCCTAACAGAGAAACCACAAACCACCTGACCCTCAACTCCAGCAGCTCACACAGCACCTGCTGCCTGCAATAAGGGCACCAACTTCCCTTGCCGATTCAAAGCGTCTGTGTCTGTAACGAAGCAGCAGGGAGGGTGGAAAAGAACAGGATAAACGGTGAACGGACAGCTCCAGCAGTAGCAGCGGAAGGAGCAGAAGCAACAGCACTCTCCACTAGGCAGCACCAGACAGAGTGACTATGGTTGACAGGGTGGACACATATAGGATCACTTACCGTCACATCCGCCAATGTGTTGCTGATTGATAAACACGCTAGGCACGGTGCGTTGACCAGTCATCTGCGCCAGTGCTTGCTGCATCGCGGCTCCCTCGGGATCATGGTCCAGCTCAATTGCCTGTTTTAAACAAGCCAACGGAAGGACAATGGAAGATACGATCATGAACGGGAACGTAATGTGGGAGGACGAAAAATCCAGGTGGAGGGACGGCAGTGTTGGCATGAGTGAGCAGAGATTGGCTTATCGAGAAAGCGGCCATGTGCCACGGTTTTCTATCGATCGACGAGTTACCTTGAATTTGGCTTTGAGCTTAGCCAGGATTTGCTTAACGCGCACGCAATACGGGCAGAAGGTCTTGCTGTAAGGTGCGAAACGGGAGAAGGAAACGGAGGCGGAAAAATAATAAAGGTCATGTATCTCGCGAGATGGATGCGATGTGGAAATTCAGGGACGAATGGATGACGACGGTTTATCCACGGGAGACGTAGGCACCTGAAGACGACGACAGCGTTCTCCTCAATTATCTGCTTGATGTCTGTCATGGCTGCCACGCAGTTGATCACAATGCTACAGAGAGAGCTGCGAGGAACGTCGTTAGAATGGCAAACGATCTGTCGACCGAATCGGCAGCACAGATGCCCGCTGAACGGATGACAAATTCGTGGAGGTTGAAGTGATCACAGCGGAGACGCAGATGCCTGATCAATATAGCTTTGCGAATGGTCGAGGACGACTCTGCAACCAGCCGCCTGTACCGAACTTTCTCAGTGCCTGGGCTGGAAACACCACCTAACCTGCTATTTCTAGAAGGTACCGTGCACTGTACACCATTCTCCACCGAATGCAGGTGCGTCACGTCACGTACTGCAGTTGTGGAGCACATGTCAAACATGCATTGCGTGGGTGGAAAACAAAAATTGATATTGCCTGTGCAACTCGCGTGGTTGTGACGCAATGAGCTATAGCGAATATGTGAATGCGAGACGCACGATGAGCTGAGATCATTGCGCGTCACCTTCCATCGAAGCAGTTGGGTGTGGTTCTGGCAAAACAGGTAATGAACTTTCAAGCAATTATAACAGTTTATCAAGGATTTGCGGAAATCACACTCAATACCGAATCGAACACAATGCGTACAATTCCTGGATATCATCTTCGAAGCGCGCCGGGTCATCCACCACCATTCATGTCATACACACCTTATCTAACGGCCACGATGCCATGCTGTGTGATCCACCTCGCTTCTTCCGCCTGACTAGCGCCTGCTCTCCCCCTCACCATCACCTCAGCAAGCACCACCACCCCAAGCAGTCGCACATAGTTTAGACAACATCCTCCTTTTCAGCATTACAAGGAGGCAGAGCGAGGTTCGGCAGCTGCAGCCGTGGGTCTGTTTGACTGAGGCTTCCTCTAGCGTGAACTCTCATTCCGTCTTCTTCCTCATTCTTTGTCGCGTTTAAACGGGTTCTTTTAATACACAGCTTGAGGATCTACAACCAAAATTCTTTCATGCCGCATCGACTTCACCGTTCAAGCGATCTTCATCAAGAGGCAGTCACCCCAAAAATGGCTGGGGTTTTCACTCCAATTTCTCGGGAAGTCTCTGCCGACGCTGAAGAACGTCAACGTGACGAGGCTCAGCCTGGGGTTTCCGTGGCCAAGGACCATGATGAGACGAGGAAAAGCTCAGGCTCTGTCGTCCATGTCACGTCGGCTCCTTGCTCGTTAAATTCCTGCGGTTATCCCGCTTCAGGTGGTTAAAACCCGGTTTTTTAACGTGGTTCAATATCAGATTCGACGTTACGTGTCGTAATACGACGAATGTGTATATGTAGTACTGACGCAAGCTTTGCTTTGTTTGCAGGAAATTCTGGATCTGCCACTGTCATGAACGGCAGCCCCGCGCAGAGGAAAGGACGCGGATTAATGCCGTCTTCAGCAACAATTGAGGAGGTTTATATTCAATTGGATTACGACAACAAAGCGCATGACAATGACTCGGAATTCCACACCACCATTGCCACCACTGCAGCCGACGGAGGTGATGCGTCCAGCTCGCCAGCGTCTCTCCCTGCCAAAGGAAAGATGCAGATGCACAACGATGTGACTGATCACGCGCAGGGAGGGGACTCGCAGTCGGAAAGTGAGACGGAAGAGGAGCGGGAGCGTCCTAGTCGGCTCAAGGCTCGGGTGAAGAAGCTCTCTGTGAGCCTCAATCAGGTAAAAAAATGCAGATCGAATCGGATCTGTGAGATCCGCCTGTTGATGGTTTCAGGAACTTTTCTGGCGTGATGTCGCAAGAATGTCGCAAGATATTTCGTATCATGTGCTACTTATAACGCACATTGATAGATTGATGTGTGTGATGTGTTTCAGCCGCCCCTCCATGTTTGGGAATTCGCGGATCGGAAGACCAAAGCCCAGGTGGTGGCGGCAGCAGCTGCTGCAGCCCGTGTATCCCTCAGTGGTGACAAGGGAAAGCAGATCCACTCAGACAAGGCAGAAGCCACGCCTTTGTGAGTTGAAAGACTGATTTTACAAGTCAATAATCAGACTGTTTCCAAGTGCATTACTTCGTTTCTTTCTATTGGTTACAAGTGCCACTCTAGTGATTAGAATTTAACCCTCTGCTGTCGTCTGACTGTGCTAAACAGGGCAAGGTCAGCTAACAGCTCTCCTAAACGCCGTACTCCAGGGTAAGTCGCAAGAGCATGGTTTACGAGACTCTAGGATGCCAGATCCGGATAGAATGCATAAGAGATGCTAATTCGGTTGTCATAATTGGGAGAAGGATAATGATATGTTTTAATTTAGCTTGAGAGGAACAGATTAGTGCATACTTATTTAAATCGCAATACATTCATGCTCTGTACATCTGTGCTCTAAAAACAAACCCTTCCACCTGCTTTTCAGGGGTGGCGGTCGTCGTTCTGTCTTACCTTCTCCGCGCTATTTGACACCAAGGTATTCCCACCTGCCACATCAACCTAACCTGATTAATTCCTGTTATAATTGTACCTTCTAAGCCATCTGTCAAGTTTCCTGCACTCATCTTCCATTCCTTTCATGAATACCACAGTCGATTTCTCGCACATCTCCCCAAATCCTCTTCTCTCCGTCCTTCCGTCCACGTGGCAGCATGCGGTCGGGCTTCACCACGCCCAGCGGAGCGGGGCGAGCAGCAGCGGCGGCGGCAGCAGCAGCGGCGTTCCAGGTGGATCCCATGGTGCTGGAGGCGTGGGATGCGCTGCGGGTGTCTCAAGTGCTCTTCCGCGGCCGCCCTGTGGGCACCATCGCCGCTCTGGACCCCTCTGAAACGGCTCTTAACTACGACCAGGTGTGTGGGGGGAGGGGAAGGTAGGGGGCTTGTGTGTTGTTGGCACCAGCGCTCCTCTCTGCTGACATGTTGCAGGTCGGGTTTGTTGCAAGAGTTTTCAGGATTCTAGATATGAATGTGCTGGATTCTTTTTCCGTGTGGATGCCATGGCAGGTGTTCGTGCGTGACTTCGTCCCGAGTGCGCTCGCATTCCTCATGAACGGAGAGGCGGAGATTGTGGAGAATTTCCTGCTCAAGACACTGCGGCTGCAGGTACGGCACAGTACTTGCTATTGTGTGTGACAGGCGATGTTGCTGTTCACACTGTGCGGAAACACCAGGAAGGGGCTTCAGTGTTTACGGTGTGAGGGGGCACGAGCGAAGGGCACCGGTGAAGGACTTCAGTTGAAGGCACCAATACATGGCTTGCGAAACCATTTTTCCTCCTACCTTTTTTTGGGGGGGTTTAAAGAGTTACAGTGCAGTGTAGTTCTCACTCTCCTGGTTTGGTGTGGCCCATTATACACGCTCATGCTCCTGGTTATTGTTGTTACCCTCCTGCCACCGCTGTCGCTTACACCAGGTGTGCCTGTGTGGCATCACTTGCCACCCGCCCCTCCTCTTCCCCACCACAGCAATCGTGGGAGAAGCGAGTGGACGTGTTCACCCTAGGAGAGGGCGTGATGCCGGCGTCGTTCAAGGTGCTGCATGACAGCCGGCGAGGCGTGGACGTTATGATGGCCGACTTTGGCGAGAGCGCCATTGGGCGTGTGGCGCCTGTGGACAGCGGCTTCTGGTGGATCATCCTGCTGCGCGCTTACGTCAAGGCCACAGGTGGGCTTGGTGTAAGCACATGCTGATGTGGGTGTGCTTTGAGGGACAGACACCATGATGGCCGACTTGGGGAGAGCGCCATTGGCCGCGTGGCGCCTGTGGATAGCGGCTTCTGGTGGATCATCCTGCTCAGGGCGTACGTGAAAGCCACAGGTGGGTGCGCTGCTGTTTTTCTGGTGTAAGCGCGTGCTGATGTGGGTGCATTGGGGGAGACACCATGATGGCCGACTTTGGGGAGAGCGCCATTGGGCGAGTGGCCCCTGTGGATAGTGATTTCTGGTGGATCATCCTGCTCAGGGCCTATGTGAAGGCCACAGGTGAGCTCCCTCTTACCTCCAGCACATTAGCGCATGTGTGATAAATTGCTCCAGCACTCCAGCATTCTAGCATGTCTGCTTCCTTGACTGCATGAGGCAAATCAGGATTGCATGATGATGCCTGGTGGAAAGTGTCAATGGAATGTACAGGGATTGTTTGTCAACTGATGTGCTATGGATCTGTGCGTGCATGGCAGGTGACCAGTCTCTTGCAGACTCCCCGGACTGCCAGCGTGGCATGCGGCTCATTCTCAGCCTGTGCCTGGCGGATGGGTTCGATACCTTCCCCACGCTTCTGTGCGCCGATGGATGCTCCATGATCGATCGCCGCATGGTGAGGCAACCATTCAATAAAGATTTATCACTTCAGGACCCTTGAATGCATCTGCTGTTTGTTATTGTTGACAAGTAATCTGTGAAGGTTGTGTTTGGCAATTTTCGCCTACACTACCACCTGCCATGCTTCTGATTACTTCAGTACCTCTCATCCTTCCTCTCCATATTCATCCGTCCACCCCACTTTCCCCACCCACTCCAGGGCATCTACGGGTACCCGATAGAGATCCATTCCATGTTCTTCATGGCGCTGCGAGTGGCGCGCTGCCTGCCGCACCCGGACCTGCAGATTTGAGTCCACTCAAAACTCCTCTCACTCACTCCCACCATTCCCTCCCCCAGGGCGTCTATGGGTACCCGATCGAGATCCAGTTCACGTTCTTCATGGCTTTTCGGGTGGCACTGCGCCCAGACCTGCCGGAGGAGGGATTTATTAGTCCGCTTAAACATCACTCCACGCCCACCACTCCTCCCCTCCCCCCAGGGCATCTACGGGTACCCTATCGAGATCCAGTCCATGTTCTTCATGGCGCTGCGAGTGGCGCGCTGCCTGCTGCGTCCAGACCTGCCGGAGAACAAGGAGCTGCTGGAGCGCATTGACAAGCGCCTCATGGCGCTCTCCTACCACATGCGCACCTACTTCTGGTGCGTTGGGGGGGGAGGGAGCTTGTGGGGGGCTTACTGTTTGGCTGCTTAAGCAGGGCTCTGTTTTGCCGGTGTGGGGGGGGTCCTGTTTGGCTGCATAAGGGGGGCGCTGTCTTGCTGGTGTGGGTGGGGGCGTGGTCGCTGCTGCGCCCAGACCTGCCGGAGAACAAGGAGCTGCTGGAGCGCATTGACAAGCGCCTCATGGCGCTCTCCTACCACATGCGCACCTACTTCTGGTCTGCTCGTCTCCCTTCCTCCTGCCCGCCTGCCTCTGTATGGTTGTTGCTGTTCGCTTCTCTGTGTTTGCTCATCCCAGCACAGAACTCGTCATATCACGACACCGCTCCTCCCGTGCTTTCCGACTCTTTAAGTTACTACCTCCCAGCGTCATTCTTCCGGTGGTTCCATTGCATTCATGCCCTTCTGCTGCTGCCTCTCTGTACTGCTTGACTTATCCTGTCCTGGAATGGTTTCTGTGCAGGCTGGATCACGAGCAGCTGAACTGCGTGTATCGATACAAGACAGAGGAGTATTCACCCACACTCCCCACCCTTCCTTGTTTTGCCCCTTCCTCCTCTCCCCATCCCCCCCTCCTCAGGCTGGATCACGAGCAGCTGAACTGCGTGTACCGATACAAGACAGAGGAGTATTCACACACGGCAGTGAACAAGTTTAATGTCATCCCAGAGTCCATCCCTGACTGGCTCTTCGACTTCATGCCGCTCAAGGGGGGTTACTTCATCGGGAATGTGTCGCCTGCACGCATGGACTTCAGGTACTTGCTCTGATTTCCATATCCGTGGCCTAACCAGTGAGTTTTTTCCCCCTTTTTTTTGGTTCGGTACCTTCCGGGACTCTCAGTGCCATATGACCTTACTGTACTTTGCCGTGGGCTGCATGCAGGTGGTTCGCCCTTGGAAACTGCATGGCGATTGTGTCATGCATGGCATCACCAGAGCAGGCAGAAAAAATCATGGACCTGATAGAGGAGCGCTGGGACGAGCTGATGGGGGAGATGCCGCTCAAGATTGCCTATCCTGCTCTCGAGAACCATGACTGGCGGATCACCACAGGCTGCGACCCTAAGAACACCCGATGGAGCTACCACAACGGCGGCTCATGGCCAGGTAGGCACGCATTTCAGTCTCCACTCAGTTTCCACCCTGTCCGTTTCCATTTTCTACACGTACAGTTTTTCCTGAATCCAAAGAGTAAATTACACCGTAATATGCTCATTGTGTTGTTGTTTTATCTGGATGTGCAGTGCTGATTTGGATTCTCACTGCCGCGAGCATCAAAGTGGGCCGGCCCCACGTGGCACGGAAGGCCATTGAAGTGATTGAGAAGCGCCTTGGCAAAGACGGTTGGCCCGAGTACTACGATGGGAAACTGGGTAGGTATGTCGGGAAGCAGGCACGGAAGCACCAGACCTGGAGCGTGGCAGGCTATCTCGTTGCCAAGATGATGCTAGAGGATCCCAGCCACCTTGGGATTATTGCATTGGAGGAAGAGAAGAAGCTTCAGCAGCCTGCCCTCACACGTTCTCGATCGTGGAAGGTTTAATGTCTTGGTAACGCAAGTGGAGAGAAGGTGGCGACGCTGGAAAGTGTCAAGGTTTCGTAGCTGTAATTTCTTGATGGTTTGAACTGCTTTGTGTTCTGTTTTGGTCTACAGAATTAAGTGTAAAGAGTGCAGTCACCACACACTCAAATGAAGCTGTAAGCAACACATATGGGGTGATTTCCACCCATCTGACCAGCTGGTTTCTCCACCCCCACCAGGATGTATGTCACATGCCTGGCCGTCACATTGACATCAGTAGGGCAGTGTACCAGCCCCAAGAGCTGAACCCTCAGCGACGAGGCAAGAGGAGAGCCCCACCAGGACTCCCGCCTGAAGGTCTGGTGTTCGACCATTATGGCTTAAACATGCAGATATTGGGCCCAGGATTGGAACTGACTCACAACCCACTGCTGCCCCAGCACCACCAGCACCACCTCGCTCACCAGTACCAGCCAGCATCACCACCACGACCTTAGAGGGTACCTGTCATGGAGGGGTGGGAGAAAAATGTTGGAAACAAGTAACTTAAGCGCCCCTGTCGTGTCGAAGCACTAAGTTATAAGCGAAGCAAAACACAGCGAAGCATCGGCGAGTCAAGCCTCGGAGGTTGAACAACTGCTGGAGGTTACGCGAAAGTCAAAGGTCAGCGACCTTTGACCTGACAAGTACAGCGCGACAGCAAGGACAAACAACTGACTCGTTACTGAGCAGTTGCCCGAGTCGTCACTGTATCGAACCGCAACAGCAACAGCAAAACAGTTATTAGTTATAACCCTTCATATTCCCTTGTACTCTTATAAAAGCTTGTATCTCTTTGTTTTAATCAATCTACTTTGCCCTCACATACCAGCGCAAGGTGGTTCACAAACTTCTCATTTAAAACGCTTCCGCTATTACATTGTCCTACTCAGAGTTTTGTCCTGCAAAGATCCTAAGGGCTTTCTCAGCCCAACATGGTGTGAGAGCTATCAGGACAAATTCAACTACAATCAAGACACCTACAACATCACAAGGCATGGCAACGCAGAAGGAGAGAAGCTCCTCTAACGGCTCTCCCGGTACTACTCCTACTCCACCTCCTGCCTCTGGCCTACAGACAGAGGAGGGCACAGCAACAAGACTGGCAGCTGGGTCTACCGAAACTCCCGCAAATCAAGCCGCGGCCTTCGACCCAGACATGATGGAGAAATTCTTCTCCTTCATGTCCTTCTACGAACAACACCAGCAAGGGGCACCTGCGCAGTCAAACAACAGCAACAACAACATCGCAACACCGATGAGCCTCGACGGTTCATCCTACGCACGAGGAAATCAGCAACAACAACCTACCTTCGCCCCGTACGAACCTCAGCGCGGTTCCGTCAGCTTCATGCCGCGCCAGCAGCCTTCACCTGAGCAAGAGAAGACAATAGATGCACTTCAAGTTCAGTCGCAGTTTGCGCACGTCTTAAAACTGCAGACGTCAAGACCGTTCGACGGAAAGGACTTCTTAACCTGGTCATTCGAATTCGAGCTGATGATGGAAGGCGCGCAGATTCTTGGCTTCTTCGACGGGTCCCTGCCATATCCAACGCATGGGACGCAATACGACAAGCAGCAGTATACATATCAATCCATGATGGCGTATACAATCCTACTGCGCAACGTCACACCGAACCAGCAGCAGAACATTCGGTCTTACCGAGGATACGGAAACTCCGCCGAGCTCGCGTACAATCACCTGAAGAACCTGTATCAGGCAACAGACAGTGTCAATCAAAGTCGGTTAATGGCACAACTGACAACAGTGGAAATGAAACCGGGCGAAAAAGGGATGGCGTATATCAGCCGCTGTCGCGAATTGCGCGACAAAATCCTTCGATGTGGAGGGTCGATATCAGAAGACGCCTTCGTCACAGTCGTCATTGGCGGTCTTGGTCCTCATTGGCGCTCAACCCGCGCCATACTCCGAGCTCACGGGAAGATCTCCGAAGCATCACTATGCGCCGAAATTCACGCTGAACAGCAAGACATGGACCTGCAAGAGGAGCGGCACAAGAGGAAAACGTCAGTACCTGAATTCGCGTTCCACACTCAACAGCGCTACAACAACAACAACAACCGGCATCAACCAAAACCCGTACCTCCATTCTGTCATCTCTGCAAGACTTCAGGGCACCCTCGCACACACTGCCCGAACTGACAGCAGTCAACACCACCGCAACGCCAACATCGTCCTTCAAGTAGTCAAGTGGCGTCCACACAAGCGCACCCCACGAGTCAACTGCAGTCCTCAACGACATCGTCAACGCAATCTGCACAAGGAACAAGAAACATTGTCAGTTGCATGGCAAGACTGACTGACTCCTGCATCACCGAGTCACCACCACACTACTCACCGGAAGAGCAACTCGACAACAGCACCCCTCGCCACGAGTCACTTCAACCAAATCCGACGTATGCGGCCATCGCTCAAAGCGAGCCGTCCGGGAAAGATACCTGGTTCTTGGACAGCTGCTGCGGACAGCACATGTGCTCTTCGGGACGATTCGTTCAACGCGAACACCAACTTCAACGCGAAGTCGTCATCACCGTCGCCAACAACCAGAACCTGCGCACACGACGACAAGGCGTGGTGCAACTTCAGTCACGAGAGACAAACGTCATATTGCATATGTCAAAAGTGTTAATTGCGGAGGGACTCGGCTACAACTTACTGAGTGTCAGTCAGCTGATGGCGAAAGGCATTCACCTCGAAGCAGACAGCACAACACAGGAGTTCAAGCTGTACCACGGGAGAGGAGGCCTCTACATCGGCAAAGCTGTACTGAAGAACAACGTGTTCGTCCTCGACTTTGTTCCAGATTTAGGCACCGCCGACAGCGACGGAATCGTCACCTTCACCTCCTGGACACACCCGCCGGATCTCGATCCTGACTTCAGCCCCGAAGGATTTTGGTACTCGCACACCGTTCCTGAGGCAGAACGAACAAGAGCATTAGCAACAATTCAATCGGCAGCAGCAGAGACAACATCGGCAGCAGCAGAGACAGCATCGGCAGCACCAGAGATAACATCGGCAGCAGCAGAAACAACATCGGCAGCAGCAGAAACAACATCGGCAGCAGCAGAGACAACATCGGCACCAATCGCGGGTCCTTCAACTACACCAGCTCCAATCGACGACGACACTCCACCGACTCCTGCGCAGCAACTGAACCCAACCACGAGAAGTACATCGAAGCACAAACTTCACCGCAAGCTTCTACTCCAACTCTGACTTGTACCGTCGCTCACCTGGACATCGAGCTGGCGAAGAAATCTGGCACGCACGAATGGGACATCCAAGCAACACAGTGTTAAATAACACAATCAGAGCAGGAGTGCTCGACAAAGACTCACTGCTCCTAACCGACGGAAGCGAACTTCAACGAGCTCGCGGAACGTGCTTTACCTGCCCCGAAGCTGACTTACCACATCGACCGTTCACTTCTCACCACAACCCCAGCGCACCAGCTTACGCACCACTCGAGAAAGTATACAGCGACATCATGTACAACCGCGAACCTGGACAAGGAGCATACAGCTACACCATCACGTTCATCGATGCCGCTACACGTTACGTTTGGCACCTCAACCTTCCGAGCAAGGACATGGCTTTCGAAGCTTTTGTCGCTTGGCTCCCAGTAGCAGAACGAGAATCAGGCGTGAAACTGAAAAGCTTCCAGTCAGACGGAGGAGGAGAGTACACCTCACAAAGATTCAAGCAGTACTTGGCAGAAAGAGGGATCAAGAGGCTCATCTCCTTTCCCTACGCTCACCAGCAGCAAGGCGTAGCAGAAAGGATGAACAGGACTCTCCAGAACACCATGCGCAAGCTACTACGTGGCATGCGGCTACCCAACCACCAATGGCCCGAAGCAATGGACCACGCTGTCATGCTGCACAACTTGCTCTCGTCATCATCGCTCCCGAACAACGCATCACCGCACCTGCTGTGGACAGGAAAACAGGGCAGCACAAAAATGTTAAGAGTTTTTGGATGCATGGAACAGTACCGACCCCCAGCTGCACGAGCCGGCCGATTTTCCCAACGCGCACAGTGGGGACTACACCTGGGCATGGAAAAGAATTACAACGCGTGGAAGATTTTCGACGTCCACTCAAAGGAAACAGTAGCAGCACGTGATGTCATTTTCTACGAGCGACTCACACTTCCGACGTACCTTGCCAACCTGGAAGAAGACCGGGACCCCACAGGTGGTTTTCATGGTGACCAAGCCTTCGCCTCGGCAGCAGACGAAGCTGACTGGGACGAGCAGAACGTGGATGAAGCCTCGGAGGAAGCCGGACCTCTCCCTTACTGCTCCGTCGCCGTCCCAATGGATGACGAAAATCCTCGCGAAAGCGTCAACGCTGAAGTATTTTACCACTTCGCCGACAACGGTTACGTTACTCCTACAAGAGTCAACACCAACGAAGCAGAACGCATAGGGCCCAACTTCATACCTGACCCAGAAACAGGTGACGAAGCAGCTTATCCCAAGGACACAACACTTCCCCGCTACACACAGAGTGGTCTCCAGATACTCGGCCTCGTCACCGCGGTCCACGACACGGAGATTCCTAAGGAGCCTGCCACAGTTCAGCAGGCTCTGGGGGGGGAGCATAGGGAAAAATGGCGCGAAGCCATGGACAAGGAGCTGAAAGCACTGGAGGAACGCAACACTTGGAAAATCGTCCCCATCAGCGCGGCACAAAACAAGACAATACACACCGGGAAATGGGTCTTCCGTGTGAAGACGAAGGCAGATGGCACCATCGATAAGTTCAAAGCGCGCTGGGTTGTACGTGGCTTCGACCAAGAACACGGACGCGACTTCACTGAAACGTTCGCGCCGGTCAGCCGACACACTTCACTGCGAATTCTCCTCGCAATCGCCGCCATGAAGAAAAGGTGTGTCAATTATATGCATATTATATCTGGTTAGGCTGTAGTGGGGTAGCCAATGTAGGGTACA